TGTTCAGAGCCATGTGCTTCTTCATAGTATTTCTCTTTATGTGGAAAATACAAATATTTAATTAGAGACCCACGCATACACATTTGTTGAGGCCAAGGTGAAAAGAATATATGTTTAAATGCATAGTTTCATGTTATATCTTTTTTAGAAAAATGAGAATATTTAATTATTTATTTAATTTACATTGTTCTTTTAAATGTAATTATTTTTGGAATAAAGTTCATCAACCAAATGATTTAATTTGGTCTTTTTATAATTGTAAACCTCTAATAAATTAAGTTTTTATGAATTTGATCAGAATACCTGGATACATTTAAACATATTTCCGAAACAAACATTAATATATATATACTCCATTTTATTATTAAAATACACAGTTTCATCCAGAAAAAATCAATTTTAATACAACTGACACTAATATGCATATGCATTTCTAATCTCTATATATCTGATTATTACTAGTCACAGTCAGGTACTTTCTGAGCTCCATAGCATCTGAGCACAGATATAGAGTCATCAGGTAGATTTCAGTGATAATGTTTTTCACATCTACTAGTTATTAAGGAGCAAGTTTTTATGGTTTGAAGAATTTTTTTTAGACCCACTTCCCATGTAGCACCCTCCCATAGCCTCCCTCCCCCCCAACTATAGCCCTTATACTTTGATATCCTTGCTACTGTCTGCTGTGTCGTCAGAACCCCAGCCATTCCCCACTACTTGTCCTTCTGGTGAATCTAGTCAGCCTATCTAGAGGTCTTTGTTTAGCAGGGTCAGCTGTTACTCATCAGGTGGTATTCAGTTGTCAATATTCCTTTGCATAAGATTGGGGTCTGCTGTTCAATTTCCAAGTTCTATGTTGGGTTACTATCTGGGAATCCCTTTGGCGACCCTGGCCAACAACTCAGAAGGAGGTATTGCCTGTCTGGCATTGTTGCTTGCTATGTAGCCTTTAGCTATATATATAGTCTCTTAAGAAATTATATTGGCACCTTTAATCTTTGGTTATACTTTCCTTTTGGGTGTTTAAGGCCACAGAGTTTGTCCAGATAAATCGTTTTATTTTTACTCTTAAGGTCGTTTAAGGATCTGTTCCTCAGGGGTCACCTGGGCTTAGGAGGAGCCCCTGTCTCCTTTCTTTTATGAGTTCCACCTATGTGAAGAAAAGTCAAAGGTCCTACTCAACCATGGTTGGCTTCGCTTGGAAGCATGGAGGAAATGATTCCTCTGTTTGACCCTCCTCTTTATAGAATGGACACTGGTTCAAGTCCACCTGGTGGGGTTTCCTTGACCTCCTTGATCAAGAGGACAGGTGACCCACCACCACTGTAGGACATTTTGAGAGATGCTCATAG